TGTTTCAATAAACACGCTTTCTCTCAATGTACTGTAAACTTGTAAATACCAGATAACCAACTTAAAACCCCCTTCCAGTCCCAGTCTCAAGAAATAACACTGGAATTGTGCAGACATAACTTTCTTGAGAAAGTCACCATTTTCTGTCACTTTCTATTCTTTGTGGCTGGTAAAATGACAGCTCAGACTTAACTTTTACATAAGCTATTTTTAGATTTTTCTCAGACATCCTTTAACTGTTTCTTTTATACAGGATCCTACCCTAGGGATCATTTTATTCTTTGATTGGGTCATTAAGCAATCACTCTATACTGGTTCATTACTGGAAGTCACTGCAAGATCCAGAAACACATGAAGAGTGGCAAGCAGTTTATATTTCAGCAAGAGATTTATGCTAGAAAGGAGAAGTCAAGGTGTTGAAAATTGAAATAAGGATGATCATTTCATGAGTTATTCCCTTTAGCTGGGGTTCCACTGTCCACAAGCCACTTAGTTTCCCTTTGAGGTCAGCATCTCTTCTCTCTGCAGCCAAACCAGCCTAATACACGTGTGCAGGTTTAATGCTGGAAGGGAGGGGCCAGCTTTACCCATACATAATCACTGTTTTATGGCTTTCACTCATTCCTGAGGTGTTAATGCAGATCAAATGGGAAACACTCGAGAAAGAACCCTTGCAGCTACTGCATTGCCTAGCTCTCCCCTCTCAATCGTTAATTCTTATTGTAAGATCTAAAGGTAATTTTGTTTGCTCTCTTAATGTGTTGCGGTTCTCCCAGTGGCCCTTGCATATCCTTTCTCAAATTCCCATCTTGATCAATTGTTTGCAAATAATTAAGCTTTTAAGAGATAATAGCATAAGGCTAATGTACACAAAAAGGCAGGTCTCCCTCACTGTCTATGGGACTGTGGTCAAATTTGCTTTGATATCCCAAAGTGATTAGGTTGATTGGTATATCTGGGAAGTGCCATCCCTCTTTCCTTCACAAGAACCTACTGATCTTTCTTAAACTGTGTCCTTGAGATGCAATAACAGCAAAGGTGTTCGGGAGAATGGCAAGGAGTGACATAGACCTTTAGTTGCAAAGGTTTGGAATGAATTTCCCATTTTCTCCCTAAAAATGGCACTTCTCAGAGATGACTCTTTATCTCTTTTGCAAAATGATGTCTGCCTTTGCCCATTGCATGGCCTCACTAGCCCTGTGGGTAGAAGGCAACAGGGCTTTGAATGTTTTTTTCAGCAGCCATGCCTGTGGCATGCTGGGTTTTTGTCAGGTCACTTTTTTTTAAGTCTACGAAAGAATAACTCATACTGTCCACAAAAAGCTTATTTAGTAAAGATGCATAGGATTTAAGATATTGAAATGTATTGGGTTTCAGTTTAAAAAGCCTACTTCTTTGTGAATTTTTGGCTGGCTAAGGATTAGCTACATGGAGTCACGGCTTTCATGTGATTCTAGCAATTATAGACTTTTTTCAGGGAATTGAAAGTTTGTGGGACACTAAGGCCAAGAACTATGAGAAAAAGAAAAACATTCAGTTGACCTACCATAGACAAGGGTTTAGGAATTTTGTTGATACCTTTTTCTCCTCTTAACAATGGCCAGATTATTGTGACATTTAATTTGTCCAATCTCTTTCGTTTCTATTTGAAAAAGTATTTCTATCCCGAACAACTGAAAATTTCTTAATGGAGACAGAGTGCTGAGCCTCCGTAGCTCGAGGCTGCCTAGGAATTACGCTGCATGAAATTAGACACAGTTTGTTCCAATTACTTAAACTCAGATCACATGAAAAGTGACAGAGGAATAAAAGGGTAGAACTTTCTAATTTTATGATATTTAAATTATAAAATCAGAAACTACATGATGTGAAGAAACAACCAAAATTTGCACTGAAATTTTGAGAGCCATATTACTACCCTTTGAAGCTTTAGTAATCCAGGTAATGGTAATGATTCAAAGAGAATTTTTCTGACACCACTTGCATGAATAAAATGTGAATTCCATTTGCTTTATAAGAATGTTTGTAAAACTTGCTCACAAACAGGCATGCAAAAGTACTCTTGAAAATACAGGAAAATAAATTACTGTGACAATTTTCAATTTTCAAAGTAACTAAAGATAAATGGCATAAATAATAATTTTTATCCAGTTCTGGTCACAATATTAAGACACAACTAACAAGACAGGGCAAAAAGTTTTGCCATCTGGCTATACTAAAGAGGGACTGTTGACATATTTATTAATTCTATTAAAAATCCCTGAAAGTGATTTCTGTAAGACCTGGACAACTGTCAGCAAATATATTTTACAGAAAATGTTATAGATTGGAAGTTACCTGTGTACTTCAGTGTACAACTTTATATGGCACATAGTGCCAATGGTGGGATGCTAATATTTGCATATTTCAAAATTGAGCTTGTCTTCTGGCATTGCAATACTGTAAGAACTGCTAGCCTGGGTAATCTTTAACCTCAATAGATCTTAGAACTCTGGATGACAAAATTGAGGATAAGAAAAGTTGTCTGTAGTTCAAAGTCCTATAGTTAATGAGTGGCAGCATCATTTATACAGTCTAATAGAGTCACTTATATTATGTACAATTCTTCAACTAGTATAGACATAGAACTACTGTATATCAAGCTATAATTCAGCGTTCTATCCATGGGATAAGAAATTCATTTGGTTTGTACTGTGTCCCAAACCTTTGTACAGTGGGAGTTACGTTTTAAACCTTAGGGTAATGGATTGCTTTGAGCTCAGTAGCCAGTCGTGAGACTTTGGTTGCAATGGCTGGCATTCTGTTGAGTAACACCAATGTCACTTATGATCTTAGGCTATTATGAGGTTTATATACCTGTATTTGAAGAAAGTGGGTCGACATCACTTTTGTGAATAAAGCAACAAAAGTAGTGTCATGGATCTTAAATTGAATTGCTTCTGCTTTATGATACATTTTGATGTTGCCTCTGAGTGGAGAGTGTCTGTCATGGCATGGTACAGCCATTCCTTTGTTCCACAAATATTTAGTGATTTTCTGTTATGTCCCAGTCTGGGCTTTGAGCAAGGATAGAGAGAAAGCAAGGCAATGGGTTTAGTAGCGTTGGTAGATGAGTGGGAAAAGACACACCAACAAGGAAATAAATAATTAAAGCAGGTGCTTCAGAGAGAGATGCTTGCTATTAGGGAAATAAGAAAAAGATGAATGTGAGCATGATAAGGCGGCGTGCTGGGCGGTGGGGAGGGTAAAGCTGAACATTTGAGCTGAGAGCTGAAAGTGACATTGGAATAAGAACCCGAGTGATGGGAAAAGCTGGTGGTGTTAGGAAAACAGAAAGAAGGATGGTGTGGCTGGGTAGAGGAGTAGGAAGTGGGTGAGAAGAAGGTGTCAAAATCTGAGAGGTGGGCAGGGCTGGATGGTGGCAGGCCTTGTAGGCCATGGTAACCAGTCCGAAGGTTATTTCACAGGAGACATGAATGAGGATTATGAAAGGCATCTGCTACATCCTTTGGTCATGGTGAGGCTTAGGCACTGGAAGGGAAGCAGGAAATATCACTGACTTATGTCTGCCTCTGGCCATCTCTTCCCCTGGCCAGTTTCCTCACCTGTAAAACAGAATGGATGATAGATTCCATTTATGTTACTCAAAGGGATATAATGGGGATTAATTACCATCCTGTCTGTAATATACTTGGAGCTCTTTAGAGAAAGGCACTATATTCCATGAAAGCAAAGCCTTATTCTAATTGTGTATTTATTGATTAAGTGACAATCATAGACAATGCTTATGGGAAAAATTGTGATCTCTCTGCTGTTCACAAACAAATCCCCTGTGTATAGATATAGAGTATATTTAAACTTACATATAAGAGTACTGAAGTGGTCATTAACAAGCCTTTTTAGCATCTAATCAGACATTATTAATTAAATTAAAAGCTATGTTAATTAGCATTCAATAGACCAGAATTTAGTTTCAATGGCACGATAGTTAAATTAAGAGTTGGGGGTGCCCTTTTCCATTCATGTGAGGGTTTCCATTCAATAGAGGGTTGACTCTCAGAAGAATTTTATCTTGGGATAATTTATTGAGATGTGGTGTTTCAAGCAAGCTAATGTCTCTGTAGATGGAAACCACATCCTCAGCTCCTCCCCTAAGCTTTAGAAATATGTATTTCAAGTTTAGATGTATTTGATTAGTGAACAGAAAGCATTTGTGCCAAAACTAATTTCAGTAGAATTCCAGACGTTCTTACAGGAAGGTATGAATTTCACTTTATTATCTAATCCTGTAATACTTTTATCTACCCTGACTCTTGAAGAACATAGCTGGGCTTGTTCTTAGCATGCAAAATATGCTGGTCTTTGACCTTATATTGGCCTGTGTTCAGAATCTCAGCATGTGTTGACATTCAGATATGGAAACCAACATTGGTGATTTTTTTTTTTTTTTTGCTGAAGACTTAAAATGAATTTTGTGTGTGTGTGTGTGTGTGTGTGTGTGTGTTTAATAACACCCACTTTAGTTTTGAGATTTGCATCTGGCAATATGGTGTTTTAGAGGGAGAATGTCACTATGGGGACCTCAGCTGAGATTGTTGGTCCACATGGGTCAACTTTAGAAATTTATGGTTCAATGAATATATTAAATTGGGGCAGTTTACTTTTAGATGGTAACGAATGGCTTGTCCTTATTTTAATCCTATAAAATACAGTGAAGATCATACTAAACTTTCTGTGTTTGCAACAAATAAACCTGTTAAAGGATAAACTCAGTATCAAGGTTCTGCAAGTATCCTAAGTAGCTATTTATACACTTCACTAATCTTTGTAATTGGCTTGTCTTTTACTGCCATTAATTAGATGATGTAGTATTCCATTAATAAGAGTGACACACCTCAGCATTTTTACCTTTAATTATAGACTTCATGAGACACTTAGGCTATTGACAAAATGGCCTAAATATTGCCTGATGCACGCATATCTTTTTAATTCTTTTTCAGCACCCTTACCCTTCTGAAGAACAGAAAAAGCAGTTGGCACAAGACACAGGACTCACCATCCTTCAAGTGAACAATTGGTAAGTAATTTGGCTTTGCTTTTACACACAATCTGTTTCCCCCTCTGGCAACCTGCAGCTCATGTTTTGCATTAAGAAGACACACCCAGTTGCCACTGCTCTCCCTGGTGGCTTGTTGATCCAAAAGTGAAAACAAACTGTTGACTGATATGTGAGAACATTTGCTAGTATGGGAAATAAAACATTGTATTGCCTTCTACCTCCTTTATAAGTTGACAATTTTATGCATAGTATAAGTATGTGTGTAATTCACATTCACTATGGCTCTGTCAATATATCTCTCTCTATGGCTTTTTTCCCCTCCTTCAGGGTAATCAATAGAGTAGTATCATCCTATTTTCTACAAAACAAAAAAAATCCACCATCACATATCAGTCAGGTTTAAATTCATTGAATAACTAAATTCAGTTAGATTTTGTTAGGGCTATGCATTCAAGGATAGTCTCTCCTTTACTGTTATCTCCCAAATACTGAAAGGAAGAAATTATTTATGTTTCTCTTTGAGGCAATTCCAAACCTGAGGCATCTCAGGACTGTGCAATACTGTTTCTAAATAAAGTGTAAATTCCTGATGTGGGGCAAAGCTGAGATTATGTACAAAGTGCCAGCCAACAATATTCTGACTCAGTGTATAGCAGTGTGGCAATGAGACTTTGAGAAAGTATGATTTATTACCCTTTATGAATGTGCTGAAAGCCAGGTTTCATATAATCACCCAGGGCTAGTGTCATATTTGAAGGGTATCGAAATCCAATATCCTCCAAAAGTAAGTGTATCTAATTAATTGTCCTAATATTTTTAGATTAGTGTTTATGATGGGGAAACCTTATCCTCTTTGAAGTAAAATCCAGAAAAGGCCAAAGCCTGGGCTGGGGAAGGGGAGAACTAGGAATGCCAGTTTGCAGAGAGAAGTATTTCTTTCTATTCAATAAGTGTCAAAGATTAATATTACAGAATCTCTGATTACACGGCCTAATCCATTTTGGTGAATAAATTTGTTCTTGATGTCTATTGCACCTACATTAACAGACCCGTCTCTGTTAGAGAGCCTGGGAGCCTTTGGGAGAGATTTCAGATATATTAAACCCCATTACAGAAAATGTAATTTCTGTCAATATAATCCCATGTATTCTTCAATTTAGTATTTTAGAGATAACAAGCTACTTACAATATATTTGCCTTTGGAGGATTAATTTACAAAGTGCACTATCTGCAAGACACAGACAGACTCACATAAGCATTGCTTGTAAGGGTTATCAATTTCTATGACCTTACTGCAGCCTTGAGAGATCAATTTTTGCAGCCCTTTTCATCAGTGGATGGTAAACCAAGCAAAGGCATACTACATCTAAATGTGTTACTAGGAGTTGTGTGACTGCTGAGGTTTTTAGTTTACCTATTTCTACCTGCTACTGTGTCTTAATTTTCAAGGCTGTTAATACTACATATCGGAACTTTCAAATGGTTCTAGACGACATTATAGGGGAGACCATCCATTTTGCACGCACATCTAAATTCATATATCTGTATTTTAAAACTTAAAGCTGATGTTGAGACAGTTTTAATACAATGAAGGCTGCACACATGTGCACATTTCCCTGGGAAGTGTTCCTTTTGCGGGCAAAGGAGTGGCAGGATAAGCTCTCTAGTTAAGAAAAGAAAAGTGCTATCATTCAGGGGATCTATCCTGTGAGCCATTTCTCTTCCTCTGCAGGGTTGCTAGCAAACTCCACTCATAAACACAGTTACCAGAGAACAAGTCCCAATACAAGTTGCTTACTATGGGTGGACAGCCTTATTATGGGATATTTCCTGTGAATGCAGGAAGAGGAAGGCATTCTTGTGACTTCAAGCAATATATATATATATATATATATATATACACACACACACACACACACACAGTTTTCTAGATTCTATGCACAATCTCTGCCAGAGAGCAATCTTCCTAATCAATGATCATAATTCGACTTTCTCAGTTTTGTAACCAGAAGGGAGAGAAAGGATGTTTAAAAAGTTTTAATTCACACTTTAAAATAATTTTAAATTATATGCAGACTTTACCCTAAATTTGACACTGCTATTCAATTCTGCACAGGTAAATAACTTAAAAATAACCTTTACTTAGTTATTTGGGACAGAAACACAATTCTGTGCTTAACTGTCATTTTGTGCAGTGTGTGGGTTCTCTCTACTTGTATATATATGGAGTTAGAAGTAACTTTTCTTGCACCTCAGTGCTTTGCATTTTGCAATTGTTTCAACATTTAACAACTTTGTTTGCTGTAGAAAATGTCCCTCAAGTAACCAAAAGTTGTAAGAGAGATCGTTTTTCTTCATTTTGACAAATAATGACAATACCATGTTTGATTTGAATTTTTAATGGTTTATTAATTTTTATGGAAACCTCTTCCTGTTTGTTTTGTTTTGAGACCGAGTCCTGCTCTGTTGCCTGGGCTGGAGTGCAGTGGCATGAACGTGGCTCACTGCAACCTCCGACTCCTAGCTCAAGTGATCCTCCTGACTCAGCCTCCCCAGTAGCTGGGAATACAGGCATATGCCACCATGCCCGGTTAATTTTTTTTTCTTTTGTATAGGCAGGGGTTTTGCTATGTTGCCCAGGCTGGTCTCTAATTCTGGGGCTCAAGAGATCCACCCACTTCAGCCTTCTAAAGTGCTGGGGTTACAGGCGTGAGCTACTGCACCCAGCTTATAAACATTTTTATAAAAAATGTTTTTTATCTTATCTATACTGAGTATCAGTACATAGCAGGAAAGTTATTTCCTACTGAAAGTAATAATTTTGAAAATGTCATCATTAGTATTTCTGCATTTCCCTTTCACTTATTTAAACATCTGTGTCTTCCTTCTTGGATTTCTTAAAACTTGTTAACACACATGTACATTTTTGTATGAACTATGAGTCACTGTTGAAATGCAATTCAATAAAATGCTGAAGGGCAGGTTGAGTGTAGATCAGTCATAATTATTGGCAGCAACATAATGTATCAAAATATATAATATGTAAGTGAAAAATATAAACTCATGTCTAGTTGTTAGAGTGTCATAGAAACCCTGACTGATGCAGTTTTAAGTTAGGCTTTGACTGAAAAATAGACAAGAAGTTTGCTACATTTTAATGGTTCTTTCACTTCATCACTGAACTAATTTTACATTTCTCTAATTGACATAGTAATATACACTACCTGCCTCAGGTGGCTAAGGTTAAAGCACATGGGATTTGAGGGGAGAAAGGCAAAAGAGAGAACTTAAAAGTAAAACAATAAGACTGATTTGATTAATTAAGAGAAAATCTGGACAAAAGAAAGTCTTGTAACTCTTACTTTGATCCAATTGTCAGAACAAAAATGGAGAGAAAGAATCTTAAAACAGTTGGCATCAGTACTTACAGCATTAGGCCCTAGGATGGAATGTGAAATTTATTAGATGTGACATTGTAGGCCAAGTCTATGCCAATAAATTTTTTGAGAATCGAGGCAATTATGTAAATAATTTGAGTAAAATATTTTTACATAAATTATCTAAGTAGTTGATGTAATTGCTTGTTTTTAAAAAATCAACCTCCATAACTAGTTGCCTAAATATTTCAATCTACTATGTTGTGGTAGACTTAGATTTAAAAGTGTAATCGTTTTTGAAACATAATATGCACCATAGATTTATGTATTCTTCCTTCTTTGGTTCCTTGCTCCCAATTATAATTGTATCCAAAAATGATAAATAATAGCATCAGGGGCTTTTGTCTTTTTGCTTTTTTATTGTTGTTGTGGTTGTAACAAATACTTGTGTTATATCAGCAGGGCAAACATTATCAATATGCTAAATGTTTCAGTAATTTAAGTAGAATCCTCTTAAATTTTGAGATTAGATGGTTATTTAAACCTTTAAGTGTTTAAGTAGAACTTTACAGAAAACACACATACACACACACAATCAATACTTGGTTGATTTTCTCCTGAATAGACCAACTTAATTTTTTTATATTGAAAATGTGAGCGTAGAATAGTCAGATAAAAATTCCCTTATGTATGATCACACCAGTGTTGCAGACCTGGGAATTCCCTGTGATGAAAACTTATCTCTTGTGATTGTGTTGTACTTACTGGAGGCCTCAGTTACCTCTTGCCTCAGCAGAGTTTTGGCCTAGGGTGTACTGAATACATTTTACAGTTTCTTTGTTTACTACTCCTCATCCAAACACTTTCCCATTAAGGCCTGATATTAAATGATTATCCCTTTATGCTCTGAGAAGGCAATATGGGTTTTAGGTGCAAAATATATAGTGTATGTGAAATACACTATTTATATAGAGAGAAAAATTATTCTCCATCAAGAGGGTATATAAAATTCCAGGTTGCATCCTAGCAGCCAAGATGACACTGTTCAGAACTATCGTACTCTACATTTCTTAGATTTAGTGCTCATACCAGATTTTCCTAGTTACTTCATTTATTGCTTTCAAAACTGCAAAGCATTCAGGCATCACTTCCCATTTATTACTAGTGGGAAAAAAAGTATGTTATCCTTAGAGATTTATGCCACTGGCAAGTAAAAATGTAAACTTATTTTTTAAAAATAAGATCTCCTTTATTATAATAAACAGATTCAACTGTTAAAGGTCAAGTTTCTTTCTGAGTTATGGTAATAATGTAGCAAATACTTTTACAAATAATCAAAGATTCTATAAATATAGGTACCTGTTTAGATGTAAATGTTAAAACATTCACAAATTATCCTTTCAACTTCTGTGATCTAAAAATCAATAGGGGTCATAGGGTTTCATAGAATTGTTCTGCTTTTTCTTCCAACATAATTTAATAATACATTTTACAGATGTTGTTTGAATATTAGACACAGATTGTTTTGTCAATAAAGCTAAACAGAGGCATGACACAAAAGCAAGGAAAACAGATGCAAAAAAAGAAAAAATACAGTGCACGATGCAAGAAGCTCTGGGTCACTTGTTTGCTATGCAACTA